GCATCAGACGCCACAAAAGCAGATCTATCTTCATCCAGCGATCCGTAAAGATCACGTGCAGCCAACCCAATCCATTCTCCTGTGACCTTCTCTTTGCAATAACGGCGGTCGATAATAGCGTCCAGCAGTAGGTCCTCGAGAGTTCCTAGAAGTGGTCTGCGACCAAGACATGAAGCTGGCTCTTGAAGATAGCTTGCAGTGGGAAACTCGAAAGCTGCTAAAAGTCTACTTGCTGTTCGTACTATTGAGCCGTCAAATGTATATATTGATTAGTCAAGCACAGAATGGATGCGCCTCACGCAAATATATAACTTTTTTATTTACATGTCGATGGAAGCAACTATTGAATAATTTCCATGATTCGGATTTTTTCTCGCGTTTTTACCTTGTCTGTTTTGCACGCATAAATTATCAGAAATACCGAAGTGCTGAGTCTTCACAGCCAACGCACACACTTTCTCTCCCACCATTTCAATGGATTTTCGCTACTACTATACAATGAAAACACGTCTTATTCCTCGTTGACCTCACTGTTCCCAGTCATCGTCAAACGACTTTGGTATTGATTCTCCTGTTTGACTGTTCATCAATATCCGGTGTCGTATCTTTCGAACATTATGGATTAATCGTAATGAGGCAATTTACAGCGCACCCTGTCTTCACTATATGGAAGATTTTCGACAGCTTACTTTTTCGTTTACAGCGTATCTTCAAGTCTCTAACATACTCACTCACAGCTCCATCTTATTTTTTTTACATTAATGGAATCGTCACTTGAGCGATAATCCTTTATACCTGTTCACAATGATGACTGCCTTCACGATTCGTCACACCTTTGCGAATTTTGAAGTCTTCAATCATTAGTTGATGACGAAACTGACTTACTTCATTATTTACAAGACTGTGAAGACTTGTGAGGTAATTGCGTTTCTAATAATTCGCTCAAACTCCACGCGAGAGTGCAGACTTTATTTCATTTTGGAGTATCGACAACTCATATCAACCTTTACGCTTTCGAGTCAAAGAATGTCTGCATCGACTCCCTCACTTCCAATACGAACCCTGGATCTTTGCAAATATCACCGTCGTCACAATCAACAAGTCCGTTCGATGCCCGAAATTTTATTTGGCTAAAGAAAGAGGGAGCCACTCAGATGGTAAATGATAACAGCCCCCTACACTCAAGTTCGTCATGCTTGTCCCAATGCTGACAAGACAACATCAAGTCGCGAGGTGAAACCCCTAAGGGCTGTATATTTAAGTAAACCAGCCCCAAGGACTGGCTCAGCGTTTTTCACGCCCATCATCACGACAGAGTGGATAAAATCCACACCCACTATTTATTTTGAGTAGTGTGATATTCAAATTATCAGAATTTATGCTTCACCAAAGTTCTCGACACATAATACTCAACTCATCCACGCTTCAAAGATAATAAGTAATCTTCAAGACTGTTTTGCTAAGATAACTAGTATAATGACACGTATCTTAACCAGAGTTCTGAAACTTCAAGTGACCAACAATATATATTGTTCTAATTTGCCTTCTCCCGATTTCGTGCACAAGAAAAGGCAAGTGCTCAGATCCCGTCTGTATACCGTTCACTAACACTCTCTGACCGTCTTCGCTCCCTCCTGATCCGATACTCTTCGTTGCGCCGAATTCGCATGATTCCTCGGTTCTAACACTCCCCGCTCTAACCTCGCGGTTTTAACTACTTAACGCTCACTGAGCACATTGTGCTATCACCCACTGCGTTTACTCCAACAAGGTTTACACGCCTTTTCCCTAAGATTTTCCCTTGTCTCCTGATGTCTAGTGCATATTGCTTCTGATTGTAAGGACATAGAAATCACCATTTACTGGGTTTACGGACCCATTTTCGGAGGCGCGGAACTGCAGCCGCTATACGCCGTGTATCAAGATACACTTTGCGATGCGTAGCTTAAAGATCGGTCAAAGCTCTCGAGTTTTTTAGCGATATAATCCCTCAAAGTCTTCGTTTGTGCCTTAACTGTAGTCAGTCACCCGCGAAGAAGTTACCGAAGTTTTGGACCGTCCTCCACAGAAAAGCTCAACAAAACATAATAAATATATGGTTTACAGATAGAAGGGAGAAATAAATACACGTATAATGATGTCGATTGCACCGAAAGTACTGCGAGCTTTTTACCCACAACAAGTTCAAGCAGACTCACTCCTCACCGCTAGTGAAGCCGAATCAGCATTTTAAAACTTCAATGCACGATACACCCAAGCTAGATCCAACGCCAGCCGCGTCGACTAAACTTCACCGCTAGTGAAATCAATGCCCCACAATAATCTGAATGAAATATTTGACGAATTGGCTATGGGTTAACAGGCGCAGATATGGAAGACGCACGTCAGGCCTGGCTTCTACAAAATTTCATTAAGCATCCATAATGTTGGGGTTCGCTATACTTGCGCGTCTAACGACATGACTTCGAAATTGATCCAAGCGCCGTTGACTGTTTTTGGCTCAGAAGTTTCATTAGCACGATTTTTGAGATATGGCTCACGTTTCTATGTGGGAATGGTTTGACTTTCAGATAAATCGACGGATCATGCTATATTCTACTTGTTTGAATCGCGTGAGGAACCTTCGTGTATTTTACCAACTAACATACGAACCTGTCTACCCTTTTGAAAACGCACCGTATAGCTAGCACAGAATCAGGCTTTGGGAATTATGGCCCCATCATCATACGAGCCTTCACGGAAAATGTCTTTTCCTTCTCCGGACTAAGGCATGGCTAATCCCTCCATGCTTTGTAAACCACTAGGTGACGCGATATAATCGGATTATTCCTCCATTTATTCGTCTGCACCAAAAGCAAGAGGCAGCTGAAAGAGCCGCTGAACAACTAAAGCCTATCCTGATACTCTATCTAGGGATTTGCCGGTCCTACCTTTACTATTGTTCGTACGTCGGTCACTACAGGCATCCCAACCTGTAACGAACAGACTTCAACCTGATACTGATGACGCAATGTCAATTACGAACGACCCGTCCAGCATATGTGGCTAATAATAACGACGCCCAACAACACTAAGCTAAGTTAGACGTTGGGATAATTCTGACCTCATGGGTCTTGTCCGCTATTTTAACCCGAATCTGTGAGAAGTTTTATCGAGAAGAGGTTAACGATTCAAACTGTTCGACTCAAGCCCAAAAGGTTAGCAGCCCTGATTATAATCGATTTTTGTGGCTTGGTAATTTAGACACTAGCAATGACATTCTGACATAGAAATTCGTCAGTCCGAATATGATGATGTTTGCCCGAAAAGCACTCCACCCTTCAAAGGTGACTCGGTATACATGATATAGTTACCCCGCCAGCCATTAATTACGAAGTTGCGTTTATGACTCGAATGAATCTTTATGTTTCTAATTTCTTTTTTAGGCAGTTTAAAATCTGCCCCCCGTTTTGACCAATTAGCCACTCCTGAAGCTAACCCAGGGCTACTGCTGGGATCCTTATCGTCTGAAAGAAAGTTGGCACGATTGCTCTCAATCGGGTGGTTTGCCGCTTATCGTCCTCTCAGCCAGTTTGCAAAGATGCGTGCAACCTCTTCAAGCTTCTTGGCTAATCGACAAGATGCTCTGTCGTCTTCTTCAAAATGACAACCCAGTACCGTTGACTGCAGTTGATGCTGTATTCGCTTTATTTGCTTGGGACGCAGGAATCTGCATTATGGCTCTAAACGTGTACCATGACCGGGTTAAGATATTGGTTTTAACTGATCAGAACCCGAAGTATTTCGCCAATTTTAGTATCCCTCTCCTGACGGACGACACATCGCGGTTGCCCGGGTTTTACACGTTTGCCAATGACCTGATGCAATACAAGTCCGTTACTTCCTTTTTGATTTTCTAGCTCCGAATAATTTAGGTATCAAGCCATTCCTACTGGAGAAATAACTCCTTAACTTTACTTCTTGTCAAGCTATCCGGGCTTTTGATGATATCTCACTCAATGTGAATAGACTCAACTATGTCGAGATATTTTCTCTCGCTATTAAGTTATTGACTTATTTAAAAACCAAGCTATCTAGCCCCAGATCGCTAACAAGCAACATCAACTTATACCGTGAACTTAAATGCTTAAAAATTAGTTTAATCAGCATTGAGAGGTATACAATAGTCGAAACGAGACCGCCTTAGCTTTCAGCGCAGCACACCATTTCGTAATCTCCAAGACATCACGCAACGAGACGCCACCGACCCTATAATTAGAAATTAGTACCTGGTTGTGGTGGCACAGCTTGGCGCGACGAACGTTTTTCACGTGATAAACGGTCCAGTTATTGTAAGCTACCAGTCAAGCGCTTTAACGCTTTACCACGCGATTTTGACAGCTCAGCTTATCACCTGCTTTTACGTAATTTTAACATTACCCTGAACCTGGATCTGGACAAAGCCAAGCAAGTCCCTTAATTACCATGATAATGGAAGACCGAAACTTAACTGGATAATTTCTGTGGTTTTTTGGATTTGCAGCGACTCGAAAATTCTGACTACTATGGCACAGAACTAAACAACAAAATTGACTAATGTCTAACAATTGTGGACTTCTATGGTTACATCGTGAAAAAGTATTTACTTTAGACTGGGTCCTGGTGTCCACGACCTTGTCGACGGTTCACCTTCTTCAGACTGGACGAGATTGGCCTGGTTCCGGGAACCAAATATTGCATAACACGCCAATAACCCCCGCCCAAAGAGCGGTGTGACGTCATTGACGCCTTTTTCTGTGCAAAGCACGAGGCGGAAATGGTGTGTGAGTGCAATTCTCCCCATTCGACACCCACGTTTAGTGTCCGGAAGCCAAACGGCAAGTGGTGAATGTTCACGCCTATAATAAGCTAAACGCTGTCACCATTCCGGCACAAACGCCGATTCTTAGAATGATTGATCTCCTGAACAATATACAGTGCGCTCGGGTTGGCCGATGGTCATTACCAATTGCTCATGAGAGCGAGTGAGATTCCACTAATAGCGGTGGGTACTCCGAGCGGGATGCTCTGGGAATGGCCGGTGAAACCCAAAGGGCTGTCAAATGCACCAGCAACATTTCATCGACTTGTGACGCAGTTGTTCAGGCCCCATAGGGCATATACACAGACAAACTTTGCCGACATCATCGTCCGCAGTCGTGCGGGGCACGGAGGGACAGATGAGGAAAACCATATCGGCCATTTAAGAGCGGTGCTCGAGTGCACGCGCACGAATAAGCTATATGCTAATGCCGATAAGTGCACCTTCGGCGCGTCAGAAATCTCTTTTAGGGTGCTTGATGGGAAGCGTGGCCTTCGAGCAGATACCGCTATGGTCAAGGCCATTGTAAACCGGCCGGTTCCAAAGAACCAAAAGGACTTGCGCAAGTGGCTTGGCCTCGCCAACTACTTGCACAAGTATAGCCAAATTATGCGGGAATGGCTCGGCTATTGTCTAATCTCTTTAAGAAGGATAAGAAATGTGTTGAGACAACTAGCATTGGAAGGCTGTTGACAGGATCAAATACTTCCTCCTTCGTGCACCAATACTGGCGTTGCCAGACCCCGATTGTCCTTATGGTGTCGACTGAGACGCTTCGGACTTTGCCATCAGTTCTGCACTGCTACAAACAGACTTCGAGGAGCGAGATCTAGTGATGACGTTCTCTCGCCAGCTTAGAGCTGCGGAAAGGAACTACCCAGCACACGACAAGGAAATTTTTGCAATGAAGTATGCACTTGTCAAGTTCAGAGTGCACCTGTCGGGTTCAAAGCCGTTTGTAATCTACACAGACCATGCGTAACTACGCACTGCATCTCAGTCGCCTCACCTCTCGCAGAGGACGGCTAGGTGGCTCTCATTCTTTGCAGAATATAAGTTCGAGGTAAAGTATCAGCCAGGAAAGCAGAGCGCATTGACTAATGCGTTGTCACACGGACCAAACGATGCGCTTGCTCATGTCGCGACGGTGACGTCGTCAGTGACGGATTCGATTCACGCCGCACACGCGATGGACAGTATGTGTGTAGCGCTACTACAGGCTGTTGCGGACAAGAAATTTTCGGCGCGTTTGCGCGCATGGTCACACCGACCATGGCTCAGGGCCTGGTGGGGGAAATAGCCAAACGGCTAGCTGATGTCAGCCTTCTCGCCGTGCGTAAAAAAGTCGAAGACTTCCTGTCTACAACACTGAGTGTCTTACGACACGTTCGCGATGCGATGGCTGAAAGCCGAGACAGCAGAAGGAATAAGCAGACCGAATAGGAAGAAGATATGTTGAAATTATTGAGGTCGGAGACCTGGTTATTAACGCTAAAATTCTTCCTACATATGCAGTTTCTGCTGTCTCTAAGACGAAGCTCCGTTCACGCTTTGTTGAACTTTTTAAGGTCGTGACTAAGCGAGGCCTAGTGTATACGCTCAATCTTCCGAGAAGAATGCGCACCCACCCGGTGCTTTATGTGGGCTTGCCCAAGCCGTACCGGGATCTAGCGCAAGAGAACGCGGAGGCATTGGCGCCGTTCCAGCGCCAAAGGCGCTCGACTACCTAGTAATCGAATCGAAAACTGGTTCTAAGCATGGAGTGCAACAGTTCCGTTTCCAACTGCGCAAGGCACTCTATCGTCTCACGAAGTGACTTATTTGCCTGCTCGACGACTAGGAGCCGCTTTGACAGATCCTGATAATAATCAACGTGAGGCAGTCGATGCACAAAGTGTTCCAGGTCTCGAGGTCTTCCGCACAGCGGTAGATGACCTCAGAAAGATGCTCGGCATAGTTCCGATGACGACGGACTTTGTCCACTCACGCTCAATGAGCAACGCTGGTCCCCGGACGGCAATCGACGAAGTCATCATCCTCCGCCGCCGACTCCTCTCGATGAGAATGGTGGCCTCCTCTCCCACGTGAAACGCCTTGTGGGTTGACGTCGCCGACGGGGTTAAACACAATATCTTGTGAAGTGGCGGGGATACCCAAACTCCGAGGGCTCGTGGGAGTTTGAGGTGCCACTTCGGCAAGTTTGCCCAGACGTCATAAACGATTATGATCAGAAGGATTATGGCGCGTCGCGTTGGGTTGCGCACCGCGCTTCTCGGTAGTAGTCCAAGAAGCCGGAGGGGCCATGAGCTGAGTCAAGCTATGGCTCTGAGCTACTGTGCGTAGACTTAAACGTGTTAGAAACCACAATGCTCGCAATAGCGTTATGGATTGTTCCATAGGTCGCAGGGCGACAACACGCAGGAAGTCGGCGTCGCGCCTTGAATTCTGGCAAACTCAAATTTAAGATGGAGCTAAACGCAAACCCTCGCTTCCTTGTGGCCTTGCTGTAAGATAGACAGCGAAGAATGTTTCCGGTGCCGCTGCACCCATCGCTCAAACAGCTCATCGTTGTCTGCAGCGGTTTCGCAAGGGGCGAGCACCACAGGGTAGGTCCGCATTGCGAGAACAGGAGCACCTCCGATCTGAGCTCCAAGTCGAGCGCGGTACTGATCCATTAGGAACATTTGGGGTATCAAAATGCGAGTTCGCATAACTTTCCGCTGATCGAATTCAGCTTGTGTAGTGGCCGGGGCCCGACCACGTAGACGCCTAACGATCGAGTGATCGCGTTTTGTGCTTCGGAAGCGGGATCCGCCGAGCGGAAGCCGTATTCCACACGAGGGTAACACCGAAGGTGGATACGAGCGCAGGAGTCTAGTAATAATACCACTTCCCTCAGAAACCGAGAGGTCGGGGTACGGACACAGTGTCCGCAGGGTTTGAGCTGGGCTCACGTCATGCCGCTGGCGCACTTCGTCTTCCCCGTCATCCCATGCTGGGAAAGGAGTGTCCGACTCGTAATCGACTTCCTCCAACTCCTCGACGAGAAAATCAGTCACTCGAGGCGGGCAAGTATGTACCGCCCGGAGATGCACCCTGTGCAGAAGAAAAAGGGCTTTGCCCGCGAGTGCCCTCGCTACCAGCTAGGCTGGGTGTTTTGATTGTCGTAGACACGGTGCTCATAGAGCGGAAAATGGTTCAATCTGTTCTTAAAGAACGTTGAACGTTAAGGTGTCTTAGAACCTCAAGCCTCGTATGAGGCGACCGTTAAATGTGAATCGGGGACATTTACAATTTAATGAGGGGTTTACACTTGCCCTTGCAAGAAAGGGCGGGTCGCACAAGATTGCGCAACCGTACATAGGTGTGTATTACACAGTCAGTGTAATCACACAGTGGTGTGACTACACCGTAACAAGAAGTCAATACGTGGCAGAATTGCCAGTAGTAATGCATATTACTCCAATATTAATTAGGTTTGCTATATTAATTAGGTGTTACTATATTTGTAACGGGGTTACACATACCCTGGTAACAGAGGGGGGTCACACCAGATGGGTGTGGTGTGACCACACCCAAACAAGTTTACGGTACGGGGCTGGAAAGCCAGTAGTTATACATGTATTTAGATTTTACTATACATATTTAGGAAAATCTATACATTTAAAATTAGGCGGCTTTGCCGCAGATAAAATAAAAAAGTCAGTTAATAGGCCTTGGGTTAAAGCTATAATTACTCTTGAAGTAAGCGGATTGCGATCCGCTAAACTTGTACTTGTTCTAAGTACAAAACGAAAGGTCGGTGACCTAAATAACGCTTCCTCTAAGCGCAAAGCTACGGCAGCCCCGCTGCACTTGGTTGCACATGTAGTCAATCTACACATTAGTCGTTACGACTGATCCTCTGTGAGGATGGAAGAATTTCTTCTTTACCCCAGGGCATGCAGGACAGGCTTAAAAAGCTAATATCCATGCTTGGCCCTGAGGGCGTGCAACATCTTGCTGCGCAAGGCCCCGAGGCAACCGGTGCGCGTCTCGAGGCGATTTCAAATAGCAAAAACGCGCTGCTAGAGCACCTGCAGCAGAGGATGTCTGCATTATATGCGTCTATGACGCCACCGTCAGTAACGGATGACTCACCCCGCCCTAAGCCGCTCATGGTGGGCGGTAAGGTCTTTGAGGGGAATGATGGAGAGAATCGCCTGCTCTGGGTGAGAGAGATCGAGATTGCCATCGGAGCTGCCAAACAGCACACAAACACACGACGGTATTTTGTCTGTGGGGACACGTGTCACCTTCGGAACGGATG